CCCAGAAGAGTGGAGGCTGTTATAGCAGCAAAGGGGGGACCAACTCCATATGAATGCCCATGATTTTTGAATGAGATGTTCGACAAGCAGGTGTCCACATACTTTTTGTTATGTAGTGTAGCTAAGTCATCAACAATATACAAATTATGACAATTTGAGAGGATGCAGTTAATTTGTTCCTTAATTCCTGTTGACTCATTTTTGAAAACGTCAACAACCCTACCTGATTCTTTTAGTTTTGTATTGATTGACCTTATATTATCTGTCCCAACTTTGGACGTGGAGCTGCCCACTGTGAGGTAGGTAACTCTTGTAGCAACAGGAAGTTCAGGAAGTTAGCAACAATCAACAGTTCTCTAATTTTCGTCCAAAAAGGTCTATACAATGATTCCAAAGGCTTTTAGTAATTGTGCTGTTAAAACATAAAATACAACAAGCAAAACATTAACTTCTGTAATTTATCAGTTATTAGGATGATAATTGTCTGACAGCTCATTTGAAGTTGAAGGCAATATCAGCTGGAGGGACCCCTTAATTTAGAACAATGCTCCCATCTAGCGGTTTAACATGTGTCATGCAGTTGCATCTTGTCTCAGTGTCATTGCTGGTGAAAATGTATGGGCGCATTCCAATAATTACCTACCTCACCGTGGGCAGCACTACGTCCAAAGTCAGGACCAGAAAGAAACGCTGCTCAGGTTTTTATTTTACACCTGCTACAGTGAGGGAAAAAAGTATTTGATCCCCTGCTGATTTTGTACGTTTGCCCACTGACAAAGACATGATCAGTCTATAATTTTAATGGTAGGTTTATTTGAACAGTGAGAGACAGAATAACAACAAAAAAATCCAGAAAAATGCATGTCAAAAATGTTATAAATTGAATTGCATTTTAATGAGGGAAATAAGTATTTGACCCCTCTGCAAAACATGACTCAGTACTTGGTGGCAAAACGCTTGTTGGCAATCACAGAGGTCAGACGTTTCTTGTAGTTGGCCACCAGGTTTGCACACATCTCAGGAGGGATTTTGTCCCACTCCTCTTTGCAGATCTTCTCCAAGTCATTAAGGTTTCGAGGCTGACGTTTGGCAACTCGAACCTTCAGCTCCCGCAACAGATTTTCTATGGGATTAAGGTCTGGAGACTGGCTAGGCCACTCCAGGACCTTAATGTGCTTTTTCTTGAGCCACTCCTTTGTTGCCTTGGCCGTGTGTTTTGGGTCATTGTCATGCTGGAATACCCATCCACGACCCATTTTCAATGCCCTGGCTGAGGGAAGGAGGTTCTCACCCAAGATTTGACGGTACATGGCCCCATTCATCGTCCCTTTGATGCGGTGAAGTTGTCCTGTCCCCTTAGCAGAAAAACACCCCCAAAGCATAATGTTTCCACCTCCATGTTTGATGGTGGGGATGGTGTTATTGGGGTCATAGGCAGCATTCCTCCTCCTCCAAACACGGCGAGTTGAGTTGATGCCAAAGAGCTCGATTTTGGTCTCATCTGACCACAACAGTTTCATCCAGTTCTCCTCTGAATCAACGTGAGCTAAATCTATTTTCTCTGTCCATGGTACTGATTTGTGTGTGTGTGTGTGTGCGTGCATAAGTAGAAAAAGCATGTTAACTCACCCTACTTGTAGAGAAACGCCAATGCCATCCTCCTCTTTTTTATATTGACAAAACAGTCAATGCCTTTCATACAGTACACACTTTTAGTTTTTGTTGGCCTAGGCTACCTGGCTAACATGCTTGCTCGCTAGCCTAACTTCCTTTCATGGGAAACGATGAACTAGCTAGTTAACATTAGCCTGCTACATATTGAACTTCCATCCTCTCAGGCCAGGGGCACAATGTATGAATTTATGGTTGGATCAGAATCACCGTTATAATCATTGGCCAGTACGGAGAATTAAGTAAAACCACAACTCCAAATCCCTATCACCCATGGCTAATTTAGAAAAGGGCACATTTTATCTAGCTAGCTAGCCACCGGAGGACAACAACAGAACGAGTTTTAACAATTCAATTTTTTTCTGTCAATGACTTTTGGCTTTTGATGTGATTGGCGGCAGGTAGCTTAGTGGGTAAGAGCGTTGCGCCAGTAACCGAAAGGTTGCTGATTCTAATCCCCGAGCCGATTAGGTGAAAAATCTGTCGATGTGCCCTTAAGCAAGGCACTTAACCCTAATTGCTCCTGTAAGTCGCTCTGGATAAGAGCATCTGCTAAATTCCTAAAATGTAAATTGGTGTGAAGCCAAATCCAAACTGGCTTACCTTGACACTTTTTTTTTTTTGGTGAGCCAGGACCATTCACAGTTAAGCTCGCTCAGTTTAGCTCAATGCTGATTGACTATTATAACATTAAAAATATATATCCAGCGAGGCCAAATGCTCGCTGGCTTCCCTTGCATTCAGTGCTACGGGCGGCAACAACGTCAAGCTCTTTTTGACCAGACAGCATCAAATAGATGGGCTACACGTACAGAGACAGAGGGGTGCTGTTTCGCTTGCTCTGATGTTTTCTCTGATGAGATACATTCAGCCTATTGTGAATTGAAGGGAAATTATGAAACACAGAGAGACAAAAGATACATTATTTTATGTTTTTTACTTTCTCATTGGTGAATTTTGGGGGGGAAGCCTGGCTTCCACGAATACACTCCACTGGTGGCAACACTGGAGCAGCTCAATTATTTTTAAAGCAAAGTAAACAGACCATTCATACACATAAAATACATACTGTACATTAAATGCCCACACCAGCGAAAATCTTTTTTTTTCAGCTGAGAGACGATGCCCAGAGCTTACCCGTGATGTTGCACAACGATGTAATTCAATAAGACATAATTTTAGTCAAAGTATGATACAGTATATTTGGGCTTGAATGGGTAAATTGAAGTACATTTCGATCTGACTATAAGTGTCTTGCGAGGGCTGGCTTTAGTTAATTTGGAACCACCTACAAAACATTTTTGGGGGCATCTAAAGCTCATTTCCTGCTTTCAAGTCCCCCAGTAGGAACACAGCAACTTCAACATTAGCCCAGATGTTGGTTAAACACACAAACACATGTCACACAAGTCACACAGAAGAGGGCTAGTGAAACTAACTGATTGTGAGATACATCCCATTCTTCAAAATCCAGTATACCTCAGTTGGTGTTTCTGATGCTCCTCCTACAAAGCAGTTGACTTTGTCTTGGTCACAAAATAACCGCCCAGCATGTTTGGGACCCTCAATGCTGGTCCAAGACAATCTTTTTCTGGGATGCCAAATAGGGCATCACGTTGCAATAATTTGATGACCATTTTCATTTAAACCAATGATGCAAATAATTAATTATACAAAATTATTAGGGATACAGGGAATGGACATTTGCAAGGGTATTACTTAAACCCTTTTGCTCTTTGGGAAGCATAGGTCAATTACGCTGTAGTTTCTTCATGAATGTATGTGTAATCGGTAGTATCCACTAAGCAGATGATTGCTCCACCTAGCTTTACCAGAACCCTTTCCTATCCAGCGTGTTGTGGATCCAGACAGGCCTTCATGGCAACCGTAGCGGCCTGGGTGGCCACCCACAAAACGTTGCCCTGTCTAGCAATCCCGTACTTTATCTGTTTCCACCTCCCACGACAAAGGGTTGGGTTTTTGAGAGGCTTGCAATGGTATTGCCGCATAACATTACTACTGTTTGGCAAGGCAATGATAGAATATTTATAAGAAAGACAACTGAGGTTGGATATATTTCCCCTTATAAATTATGAACAACACTGAATGCAAATAAGAATCCTAGCTTACTGAGACTTTATGGTTGTTCCTTAATTGTTATCATTGACATACCTGTGGACAGAGAGGACACTTTGTTCCGTCCGAGGTCAGTGGCGCCAACTTCTTGACAGTCTCTCGTTTCAAACTGCCAGTGTTTGAACTCCTCGAATTACTCATTTGTGAGCTTCCGGTAGAGCTCAACTGTCTGGAGATAGAAAAATAATAACTACTCCTCATAGTAAAAAACACTTACATGTATGGTTTGATTTCCAATTGAAAATACAATAACTACCTTCCAGCATGCATTGGATTTATGGAAAGTCAAGGTAATTCCCCTCAAAGACACCCCACACTCTAGCTGCAGGGCTGCAAACTGGCGCAGGAGGTCCACTGAAATTGCTGTATGCAGCAGATGGGGGGTGGCAGGCCAGAATCTGTGGCGGATCAGGGTGACAGGTTCCAGCTCACAGCTGCAAAACTGCAGCCAGACGTCATGAGCTCTTCCTGAAATGAGGACATTCCGTTTCTTAGATTGCATTGCTAAACATTACATCCGATGTTGGTGAGATGCATCTCTTAAGAACTTTCGAAATAACTCCATATTTTCATCATAACAACAGAGTGAACAGGGTTATGGTAAACTAGATCAAATTAAATCAAAATCAAAGTTGTCATTTGCACAGGAATACAGTGTAGTGTGCACAATACAATGAAATAAATAGATGACTACAGTATATTAAGTACAGTACAGTAGTTGCCATAGCAGCAAAGAGTCAGTTCAGTTTTCATCAACAGTCTAATGGCTTGGAGGGAGAAACTGTCACTGAGCATGGTGCTGCTACATTTGATGGTCTGATACAGTTTGCAAGATGGTAAAGGAGCCAGATGTCTTAGTTTCCAATTGTTATATAAAGGCCTACCTCTAACGTCAACAACAGTCAGAAGACTGTTGTACTGGCTGTGACAGTCATGGTCTTCTTGTCTCCTCCACTCCCATCGTAGGCCCACCGGGACACATGGGATGAACTGCCCTGACTAAGACAGACAGACAGACAGACCCAAAGTTGTTGTAGAACAGACTACAGTAGCTGCAGATTATGAAACTACACTATAAGGGGGATATTTCATTGCACAAGTTGTTAGAACACTCCAAATCAACTCTGTGCTTGGCAAGACAGATTTTGCCACATTTACTTTACCGCTGCAGGGAACTGTAACTTTTATAGAAACCTAACTGTATGTACACGATCAACATTTTTGACTGGGAAGCAATTTTTTTAAGCCAGAAGTTGACAGGTTTGTTGACATAACATAAAATATATGACCTTCCATAACTCCAACTGGCGGGCAATGTTGGGAGTGCTGTGTGTTCTCACAGCACAGGTGGCACAGAAATATTTATCTGAGCCACAATCTCCCACAGCGCCATAGCTCAGCCTCCTCTAAAACTCTACATACACGTTAGATGGCGTTGGGTGGAGGACATTCCAGCTCCACTGCAGGCTTGTGGAGTAGCTCCCTCAACCTCAACATCCGCTGCCTTCCTTTTTTTTATGCTGGTGGAGGAGGTGCATCACTGCAGCTGGGCACAACTTCTGCTGCAGAGGGAACCAGCTCTGTTCTCCCAGTACTCCCTAGAGAGTAGTGACAATTGTTACTGAGTGGACTATCCTGGTTAAATTCAGTTAAACAGAACTGAATAGAGCAACTTTCTCACCGATCCAAGTTGATGGCAGGGGTGTACGTGATATCATGCCTCTAGTCAGGTCTCTGTAAACAAGCGTGGCTCTTTTTCTTCGAAAGATGGCATCTGTAAAGAAAAACAAGACAATGACAACTAAGTTTGTTTTGTTCTAAATGAAGATATAATATTCATTACATTTAAATGATCTGATACATAGGACACATAATTATCTAATGTATCATTATGCATGACTAGCTGGCTACCACCCTGTTACTCAACCCTGCACCTTAGAGGCTGCTGCCCTATATACATAGACATGGAATCACTGGTCACTTTAATGATGGAACACTAGTCACTGTAATAATGTCTATATACTGCTTTACTCATTTCATTTATATATACTGTATTATATTCTACTGTATTTTAGTCAATGCCACTCCGACATTGCTCGTCATAATATTTATATATTTCTTAATTCCATTCTTTTACTTTTAGATTTGTGTGTATTGTTGTGAATTGTTAGATACTACTGCACTGTTGGAGCTAGGAACACAAGCATTTCACTACACCCGCAATAACATCTGTTAAATATGTGTATGTGACCAATACAATTTCATTTGATTTGATGTGGAATTACTTTGCAATTATTTTCTTATAGGGAATCTAAAGACGGTTATGGGTAGGAAGCTGTGCTTCACATGGCCATTAAGTAGTCTGAAATGCCTCCAGAGACAAGTGATGACACATCTTCGGGCTTCAACAAGCATGGGACAGGAGTATTTTGGACATCTTGGCTAATGGATTATTGTTGGAATTGTTATCAAATAAAATCAAATTTTATTGGTCACATATTAGGCAGATGTTATTGCGGGTGTAGCAAAATACTTGTTATAATGTACCATCTAATACTTGCCTAGTCCAGTGGTTCTCAACCTTTTTTGGTCATTGTAGGCCCAATCACAAATTGCTCTGCCCATAGTGCCCCCAAAGTACCCCCTCATATGCATTTTAAATGTAGGCATATCATATGAAATGAGTCTTTCTAAGTACCCACTTTGGATATTGGTTCCTAGTGATATATATATATATATATATATATATATATATATATATATATATATATATGTATATATATATATATATATATATATATTGATTAGATGGTTGATTACGTACTTTTGACGAAAAGGAAAGGACTTCAGAAGATCTTCTTCTGGTTTCAGTCACAGCACAATAGAAATGGTCATTACCGCCACCAACGTATATGGGGTGTAATAACAGCCGTGGTTGATGCTTTTTGCCTACTCGGAAATTACGATATGAAACGTTGATTTGAACCTTCTGACCAACTAGTGGGTCAGGAGGCACACCACTGTCTGATTCATATCGCGTGATTTCTGATGAGTTCTCGATTATATCGACTGATATTGGTTCTGTATGGGGTGAATAAACTGTCGTAGTGGGAGGACCACACAACATGTCATCACGTGACTCCAAGTTACTTATTATATCAACATTTGCGCATAAAAACATTTCCACCGCCATTTCTCGCATAATACATTTTACTGACACGAAAACATCCCACAATGTCCAATGAACAAATGATCTGTCTGCATTTATAAAATTGTACCAAAACTTCCTGTTTCCATTACAGCTGTCATGATTTTTCTTTACGGTATGACTGCATAAAAAGTGTGGTTGGAAACGTGGTTAATGATCTCGGAATCTCTGCATTTGAACTTCATGTTTATTGTGGTATAGCGTGATATAAGCAGAATTCAATATAATTCACACATTCTGGCTGTTCAGCAATGGAAATACCCGCAACTCAGCAAGATAGCAGTGAAGACGTTAACCCCCTTTCATTCTACCTACTTATGGGAGACCAGTTTCTCCACTCCTGCTGCAACGAAATCTAAATATCGAAGCAGACTGACTGTTGAAAACACCTTGAGAGGGTCCCTCTCCTCCTTCCCTCTGAGGTTTGACCTGTTGGTGTCCAAGAGACGGGCACACCCATCTCATTGATTAGGTGAGTCAAACATCTTGTACGATTCTGTTTTTTAATAATGTATATATCGAAAGAATGACAGACACACACAGACAGACAGGCAGACAGATAGACAGACAAACCATGAAGGCAGCCAAGTCATTAATTTAGTGTAAAGTAAAAATAAATGAAATAAAATGTGTTTTTTATATTTTAAAAAGCGATTATCTATAATACAAAAGTGGTCCCCAGAGGAATAAGGCCATGCCTTGCTTTTCCTTGGCACAAAAAAGTTTGAGAAAGGCTGGCCTATTAATCATTTTCTCTTAGGCTTCCATCCCAGCCCCCTCTGCTCTGCATGGCCACAGAAGTGAAACCATGACCAGACAGACACCTTCCTCGCCACGGAGAACGCTTGAGTATGTCATTGTATGTCATTGTCAAGTTCATCGAATTTAGGCTATACATTGATCCATAACAGACAGACAATGTGACTATTCACTAACTCCACCTTTGTGTCTGTGTTTCAGGAGTCAACAACAATTCAGCCTCACTGAAGTTAGTCCAGAAACTAGGGGACACATTCATTTGAGTAGCTTATTGTGTAGGCCTATGTCACTATAAATAACATCATAACTCACACACACACACAGAAAACTGAGAGAGGATTCTCTCTCCCAAAAATGCAAATCAGGTCACCGTCCATGGTTGTCCAACCCAGCTAAAATCCCTACGCCACCTAGGTGAAGTAGAGTAGAGTCAGGACTACAACAAGGCTGGACAACCATGGGTGGCTTGAACCTGGTGTTGATGTACACAGTTGGTAGGACCCCGACAGCACTGTCTTGACTGTATAGAGAAATAAATAATCCCTGCCTGATTCTCAGTTCTCTGTGCTAAACTGAGAACAGCAAAATGGTAATGTATGGACCGGATCCATGACAGACCTACCTATGTGTTTCATATGTCTTACAGGACTGAGGACTCCCATGCTGTGTGATGCAGACCAAGGACAGAGGCTGAGAAAGCAATAATATTATAATATTGACATAAAGTGACGATGTGGATTAAATTGTAAAAAAATATGACAGATTGGGTCAATTTTTTGTTCTATTTATCATTCAAGGCCTGTTGTGATAATGTTGCCATAACCAACTACAATTACAAGTTGAGCAAACAATGGAATGGAAAATAAATGATTAAAATGTGCAGAAAGCCCACATATTTATAATAGTCTACTCCTGCACTCAGGGTCCAACACTCATCGACTACTGAGGGTTCCCAATGTGACAATATGTTTGAGGGATGCCACATTGACGTTTCAATTGTTATGGGGGTCCTCATGAGCACCACTGAAATTAGAAACATGTCTGTGCTCTAACAAGCCACCACTTCCTCTGTTGGCTATCAGTGGTGTGAATTCATAGATACGAAGGGAAGCCAAGCTTTCCCAAAACATTTACCAAGAAGAAAAACAAAAAATCATGTAAAATAATGTATCTTTCGTCTCTCTGTGTTTCATCATTTTCCTTCAATTCGCAAGAGGCTGAATGTATCTCACAGGAGAAAGCATCCGAGCGAGGGAAACAGCGGCACTCTGTTTAGCCAATCTATCTGATGCCGCCCGTAGCATTAAATTCAAGGGAAGCCAGCGAGCATTTGGCCTCCCTTGATACAAAAAATATACAATAATAGCCAATCACCATTCAACTGTGAATGGTACTGACGCACCAAGAAAAAATTGTAAAGGGAAGCCAGTTTGGATTTGGTTTCACATCACATCAAAAGCAAAAAGTCATTGACAGAAAAAACTTGAATTGTTGCATCTCGTTGTGTTGTTGTCCTCCGGTGGCCAGCTAGCTAGCTAAAACTGTCCCTTTCCTAAATTAGCCATGGAATGAGATAGGGATTTGGACTTAATTCTTAATTCTCCGTACTGGCCAATGATTATAACGGCAATTCTGATCCAACCATAAATTCATACATTGTGCCCCTGGCCTGAGAGAATGGAAGTTCAATATGTAGCTAGAAGTAGTAGGCTAATGTTAACTAGCTGGCTCATCGTTGTTAGGCTAGCGAAGTTAGGCTAGCGAGCAAGCATTTTAGCCAGGTAGCCTAGGACCGTTACGTCAACATGAAGGAGAGGAGGATAGCATTGGTGTTTCTCTACAAGTAGGGTGAGTCAACATGTTTTTTCTACTTGCACAAACGCACACACACATACACACACAGAGAGAGAAATAAGAACCATGGACAGCCACATCGTATTTAGTTTACGTTGATTAGACTAAATAGTTTTTGATATATTTTAGTTGTCACTGTATTAGACTAAGCATAGGTGATTGCACGTGAACAAAAAAAAATTGAAATGGAAGTTATGGAACTCCCTCACGTGGTTCTTTTTATGGGGAAAAGTCCTCAATGAAACTGACATTAGGCCAAATGTAGAGAATTATACATTTGCCTCTGTTGGCCATCAAGTAGCCTATTAATGTACAGTAGCTTGCGAAAGTATTCATCCCCCTTGGCATTTTCCCTATTTTGTTGCCTTTTGTGGGTTTGTATCATTTCGTTACATAACATGCCTACCACTTTGAAGATGCTAAATATTTTGGGGGTGACACAAACAACAAATAAGACCAAAAAACAGTCAACTTGAGCATGCATAACTATTCATCCCCCCAAAGTCAATACTTTGTAGAGCCACCTTTTTGCAGCAATTACAGCTGCAAATATCTTGGGGTATGTCTCTAATAAGCTTGGCACATCTAGCCACAGGGATTTCCGACCATTCTTCAAGGCAAAACTGCTCCAGCTCCTTCAAGTTGGATGGGTTCCACTGGTGTACAGCAATCTTTAAGGTATACCACAGATTCTCAATTGGATTGAGGTCTGGGCTTTGACTAGGCCATTCCAAGACATTTAAATGTTTCCTCTTAAACCACTCGAGTGTTGCTTTAGCAGTATGCTTAGGGCCATTGTCCTGCTGCAAGGTGAACCTCTGTCCCAGTCTCAAATCTCTGGAAGACTGAAACAGGTTTCCCTCAAGCATTTCCCTGTATTCAGCGCCATCCATCATTCCTTCAATTCTGACCAGTTTCCAAGTCCCTGCCGATGGAAAAACATCCCCACAGCAT